TTAAATTGGCTCACCACTTTAGTAGCCTATTGGTCCCACACACTTAAAATTTTTCGCCGAGATTCCAACAGCCGAGCAGTTCTGCAATTTATTTTGCTGAGATTCAGTAAAACAATTGCCGAGACTCAGCTAACAAATAACTATTTGCTGAGATATCAGCTAACAAACAGATATTTTTGCAGAGATATCAGCAAAAGTAAATGCCGAGGTAATCGGCTGTTGGAGATTTTACCGAGCTAGATTAAGTGTGCAAGCAAACCATAGAGGTAACTCTAAGACCACTGGGTCCCGAAGAAAATCATTATTATTTTTGGCTCACTCAGTACCAGAACAACGGTCCCAAGCAGTCCCAAGCTATTTCACTCACCCCTGCATGTTCTGCATAAATCCACACACCCCTGATGTTATCTGCCAAACTTTCATAGCGAATCAAAACAAACATAGTGTAGTAATAGAATTTCAACTAGAATAGGGTACGTTAATCGTTTGCTTGGGACCAATAGGCTACTAAAGTGGTGAGCCAATTTAAAATCGTTAGTTTCGTATTGATTGTTGGTAGTACTGGGCATCCAGATGCTTAGAGCAAACGAATGGATATTCCCTTCCGGCTACCAGCTCCGCTGGAGACATGTACTTGAGGATGAATCCTGTGAGGATATCGATGGCTAGAACAGGAAAATACAAACGTACAAACTATTCCACCAAACCCCCACAGACGCCCCCTAGCCCCATTTATTTTGTTTAAAAACAGCAACGTTATTGCGTGATGTTTGTTTTGCTATCAGGTTTTCCGATAAATTGAGTGTATTTTACGGCAAAGATCACCGTCTGAAAAAAAAACTAACGTTCCTTTACACCAAAAACATTGATTGCTTGGGCTGCGCTGTCAAAACAATCGAGATAATAAAATCGTTCATCAGAGAGCAAAAGAGTTCATCAGAGTTACTCTGGATTGCTCTTAATTTCTCACTGTCTTCCCCCTCGAGTAAGATAGATATCAAGAGCACATTTTCATTATGTCGTAAGTAACATTCGCACCAATCCGAGAAAAATAAAGTTTTGTTTTGATGACCGAAAAGTTATTCCTATTTTCAATTAAACTCGTATAATCTCATAGTGATAGCAATGTTTAACATATATAGCAGGGTTCTAATCATACAAATGCAATTCGCTTGCTTTCATGTTAAAAAATACTGGTTTTTAAGTCAAAAGTTATTATACGTCGTTTGGTGGGCCCTATTGTTACTTAAGTCAAAGTGTATTTACCAGGATATTCGGAAGAATTATCAATTACGTCTCCTTGCGTGCAGCCCATTCATCATTATAGGACCACCGAAATCATCTTAGCAACAAACAGTTCGATTTATTCACTTTAATAATGAGAAAGCGAAACGACGAACGTACACTTTTCACGGGTTTCTCAGCGCTGTTACATAAGTCAAACGGCATCTCCATAGAAATCGGATGACTTAAGTAACATCGAAAACTATTTTGATCGGAAGGTGATTACGGCAAAAAGCAATTTGACTGGTAAATAAATTTAAAAATGGGATGTGATCCTATATTCGGACAGTATATAGTGTAATAGCAGGAGCATCGATTGACACTGATAGCTCGACTTTGTTTACCTTTATTACTTTCGACGTAATGTAAATTTGCTCTTGATATATTACATTTTTAAAAAATTCTAATTTTTCTATTAACTGTCACACATTTGACCTAAAAATAACGATTTCTAGCAGCTATGTTTTCGGAAGTTGCGGTAGTGTATGATGTACACGGGGGTTAATCATGTCCGATTAAGCCCAAATTTAGCATAGGGTCTTTTCTTTCGAGGCATTATTTTGCATATGTTCGGTCATTTGGCACACTTTTTTTTTTTTTTTTTTTTAACTCTTTATTTGTTCCAAATTCAAAATAAATTACATTTCATTTTAACCTAGGTGCTCCAGTTACTGCAGTAACGTACCAGCCTTAATTGTTATGATATATATCTAAGTGTTTTTACATTGTTCATGTCTTGGCAATTCAGTATTTTAAACAGGTTTTTTAACCTGCATGTCAGTATAACAATTGATATCTTAAAACTAAAAACTAAAACTAAATCTTATCTAAGTATAAAGGGAATTAATCGTTGCAATTGAGGATTGCAACGATTTTTGCCTGAAATTATTAATTATTTTGTTGGACATTTGTGCTAAAGTCTCAACATTCGAAATTCTATGTACTTCGGTTGTACTGTACCAGGGAGGCAACTTCAAAATCATTTTCAGAATTTTGTTCTGAATCCTTTGAAGTGCTTTTTTCCTGGTAGTGCAGCAACTAGACCATATTGGCACAGCGTAAAGCATGGCCGGTCTAAAAACTTGTTTAAATATTAGAAGTTTATTCGTCAGGCAAAGTTTGGATTTCCTGTTTATAAGAGGATACAAACATTTTATATATTTGTTACATTTGGCTTGAATGCCCTCAATGTGATCTTTAAAAGTTAATTTTTGGTCAAGTATTAATCCAAGATATTTCACTTGGTTTGACCAGGAAATTGGAACTCCGTTCATAGTGACTATGTGACTACTACTAGGTTTCAAAAACGAAGCTCTAGGCTTATGTGGAAATATTATAAGTTGAGTTTTGGAAGCGTTGGGAGAAATCTTCCATTTTTGTAAATAAGAAGAGAAAATATCTAAACTTTCCTGCAGTCTGCTGCAAATAACACGAAGACTTCTTCCTTTAGCGGAAATGCCTGTGTCATCAGCGAACAAAGATTTGTGGCAACCCTGAGGCAAATCAGGGAGGTCCGAAGTGAAAATGTTATACAATATAGGCCCAAGAATGCTACCCTGAGGAACTCCTGCCCTAACAGGTAGTCGATTAGATTTGGAATTTTGATAATTTACTTGAAGAGTTCTGTCAGTTAAATAATTTTGAACTAATTTCATAATATAAAGTGGAAAATTAAACTTTTTCAATTTAGCAATCAAACCTTCATGCCAAACACTGTCGAATGCTTTTTCTATGTCTAGAAGAGCAACTCCAGTTGAGTGGCCTTCAGATTTGTTTGAACGAATTAAATTGTTAACTCTTAAGAGTTGATGAGTAGTTGAATGCCCATGGCGAAATCCAAACTGCTCATCTGCAAAAATTGAGTTCGTATTGATGTGAAGCATCATTCTATTCAAAATTATCTTTTCAAAAAGTTTACTTATTGAAGAAAGCAAACTTATTGGGCGGTAGCTAGAAGCTTCAGCTGGATTTTTATCCGGCTTCAAAATTGGAACAACTTTTGCATTTTTCCATTTAGTCATTTGGCACACTAATTCGCCACTGACTGCATTGTCACTGACAATTGACATGGCATCGTTTGATGGTTATTTTTATTTCATAATAGTAACCAGTGTTGGCAAAATCATCATCAAATTTAAACAAAATATCATGCTTGATATTGATTTTACAAGCTCCTTCAATATTGTGAAATCCACACTGATAAATTTAACTATTCCTATTTTGCTTGAAATTTAATCAATTTGACATTAAACTCAGTAATAATCCTCTCTTTCTAAAAATTATAATTATAAGCATCTGATATTAATCCCAGTTTAATCATGGATGATTAGATTGTAGATTATCTTTTTTTTTGAATAAATTTTAATCATTTTTGATTCTATTTTAATAATTTTTTATTGAATTTTAATCTTTTTTGATTATATATCAGTATTGAAAAAGAATAAAATTTAATACTGGAAAGATTATTTCGAATTTAATCATGCATGTTTACTGCCGAAGTAATCATGGCTCGGACTCAATAAGGTGAAGCGGGAATCTGCATACTTTTTAAGCTTTTTTGATTTAATTTATCTTTGAGTGCAAGTTTATGCCGGCGTGGCGCTGTAGTCGCAGCGGTGATGAACTTGAGATAATCTGTCAAATTGCATATATTAATAAAATTAGTGAGTTTTGTTTGCTTGATATTCGTAGTTACAGCTATACAGATACAGCTTGTAATATCATCCGCAGATGCTTGCTTCAGTGATGGAAAAGTTCGCGAAAACTAAGGGGTAGGTCACTCCGCACACCAATCTTGGGTCATCTTTTTTGTCAGTGTGCCGCAAGTATGCCGATTGTGCCGGTCATATCCAGCATTTTACGAGCGCTTATGGCCGCCATAATCTGACTGAGTTTTTGGTAGGGAACATATGATGTGTCGACACAAGCCAAACTTCAAATCTTATTTTCCCTACCAGAAACTCAGCCAGATTGTGGCGGCCATAAGCGATCGTAAAATACTGGATAGCAAGCTGCGATTGTTTGTAAAATACGCATCCTGGCAACCCGGTATTTCTGACACCTTGAATGTTTTGGTTTGAAATCGCAAGGATAAATCGGATGGGGATGACGCGGGAAGTGGCGGGTGTGTGAACTTTCGGTGTTTTGTGATCCATAGGGTAATGAAAGTCCTGTGTTTTAGTGTTATATATTGCCCTCAAAGGCAGACCAGAACTCTAGCCTTTCGGCCGGAAAGAGTTGGAACCGGTGGGGAGCATTGTTAGAGACCAACTATAGAGGGTGATGAATAGACTTCTTTAGTTTATGAAGAGCTTTGAGTGGGTTGGTTAATTCCGTTATAATTGCTTATCTTTTGACAGATACGCGTATTTCGTCTACTACTTGCAGACTTCATCAGTGCCAAGTACTCAACGCCACTCCAATGTATGTGCCCAAGCTGTGTAGAATATAATTCCGGCACAATGTGCTGAGTGACTTACCCCTTGGCGAAAACTCACTATGACTCGCGAACTTTTCCCTTGGTGAACTTCATGAAATATCGCGATCTTTTCCAACACTGGCTTGCTTGTTGATTTTTGTCTACGAAAATCAAGCGTGTTCTTTGGGAATTGGTGGATTTGATTTTTTGATATTTTCTCAAAACTGTCGCCGTGTATGGTTGAGATTTCGTGGGTGGAGTTTTCTTTCTTTCCGTTCCCAATAACAATTCCACTACATTTTTAGGTTTATAAAAGTAATATCCTTTATTGTTTGTATGAACAAGTTATGTCATCCATTGAGATAGTATCTTCTCTTTCACTTTCTCTCCTATCCTTAGCTGAGTTTCTGGTTTTTAAGAAATAATAAAAGGTAATAATAGTAATTAAAAAAAAAGTTGCTCTAATATCATCTTCGCCTCTCCCCCCTCTCTCTCTCTGTTTATCTTTTTAAAGGGTGCGATTTTCTGTTCTATCGTATTGTTATTTCCTCGATTTAGGTCTTGATTTTTGTAGGGATGCTATTCTTCACCTTTTACCTTTCGATTAGATCGGATGCAGTTTCATCCAATGACGTTTAACGTCTAAAGTTAATCTCTTTCTTCTTCGTTGTTCAGAAACAAAATACGTAAATGGTGGAAAATTGTGGTAATTAAGTTGCGATATGGGCACATTGAGATGTCGTTTGTCACAAGTTTAACAGTGCATTAAATGCATGCTGGAACAGAACAAATAAAAACAAGGTAAAGAAAGGTATTCGACGTGTCGCTCATCAAAGGGAAGTGGTAAATTAAAAACTAGCGAATATGTACAACAAATTTACACAAAATTTTAAGAAATTCCTCCTCGTCGGTTTTCATGGGTTGTGATTTTGCTTTTTTCTAGCGATTGGTTTGTTTTTGAGTATGAGCACAGGTCGCTGCGAGTTCCGATTCCCGCGACTGGGGTTTCGTGGACTCAGGGTTTACTGAAGGGCTTGCAGTCTGGCGATTTCCACCTCTAGGGCCTGGATGTTGAAGTTGGGGTCATCCTTGGGTGGGTTGGCCCGGATGAATTCCAGGGTCTTCAGGACGTGGGCAGGCGCTGGGCCTTCACGTGGCAGATGGGCACCCTGTGGCTGGAATCCGTTGACATCGGCGACGTAGGTCAGCTGGATTGGAGTTCCGTCCCGGTCGGTCCACGAGGCACTACCCTGAGCCGATTGGCCTCCGACGCCTTCCTCCTGGGCACGGATTCCGTTGCTGGTTTCGTAGTTCCAGGCGTAGGAACCGTCCGGGTTGACGACATTGTCCGACGAGAGAATCTGAGCTTCGGCGTCCGGGTTCTGGGCGAGGGCAACGGCGGCCAGGGCGGAGACGATGATCTGTGGAAAGGCAAGAGATGAGAGATACTTGGTGAGCGATGCTGAAACGTGAAACAACGACATGGATTGGCGGATCGTTGAGATAATTGGCTGAGCCGGTTTCACGGCGGATCAGTTCACGAACGACTCACGATTTTCTCGTTAGAGCAACAATTAGAAGATTAAGGCAACTTATCCGATAGTTGGAGCTCCTTGACATTTAACGACGACATGTGAAAACCCTGTCAGCCCCTCCCCAGCTGTAGCAGCGGGAAGGGAAGCTTCTTCAATCACGATTCCGACGATCCCAAATGGATGATGGGCACGGCACATCGCCAGTAAAAATTGCTCAAACTACAAAACTACAGATGCCTAATCAATCAATCCCCGTTTGCGGTCGTAAATGGCGCCGCGGCATTGACCACACAGTTGTCGATGGGCATCAAGTTTCAAGTTACCTCCAAGGACGTCGTCCGCTCAAAATATTCATCATTTTTTTTTTGCCGGTAACTTCCTTCGAACTGGTTGTTGGGCGATAAATTCTTGAAAGTGATGTTTGTTTACATTCACAAAGTACCCACTCACTCATCCATAATGGTGGCAGGCAGGCAGGCAGATGATGATGATGATCAACCGCGCAATTTCTCACCTCGTGAGACAAGATCATCATCTTCTTTCCTCCTCGCTGCGCACGTGTGATCAAGTGCGCGAAACAACAACAACAACCAAACGGCAGAAGCGCCACAATCCGCGCGGCGGTAGATAATTGAATACTGTCAATGGGAAGCGCCGCTCTTGTTGTTGTTCAGTGTTGTCATTGCGGAAACAGCAGGAAAGAGGCGGGTTCTGCCTCACGGCACGACTTTGATTGGATCTCGACTGCAGCGCAATGCATTGGTTGATAATTGCTCAGTTTGCTTTTGTTTATTTCTCGTTTCGTTTACGTTGGGAAGACGATTTGTAGACATTGTACCAAATCATGCACGACATTTGTTACAGTGCTTACAAATGTCAGCTGATAAAATGAGTGCACCTTTCGAAGCTTTGCAGCTTGCTATAAATTGGAAGCAATAAACACGTGACTAGATCGGATTCCAATAACCGCACCTCCATCCATCGTTGTAAAGCCTTGCGAAGAATAATAATTGTCTCCAATTACCTACTTCGTTCCACACGAGTAATCCACGAAACAAGCCAATCAATCGATTAACCACAGAAAAACGCTCGTTTTTCTGCCATTTGATTGGGATTGTCGGTACGGTGTGTTTATTTTGATAATCCCAGCTTTATCTCTTTTGGATGCCTCCACACATTCTACGCCCATCATCAGATTGCTTGGTGTTGATAGCGCGCTTTAGGAGCGGTGAGTAATAATTGATGCTTTTTCATTGTGTTATGGGTACCACATTCAAGCAGCCTAACCCAGCCACCGGATTAAAAAAAGAGCTGTCTAGCGGAGTAAGCCGTGCCTCTTGGAGATCTTCGAGCACCCGCCTGCTTGGGTGCTCATTAACTGCATAATGTTTCTTGGATGGTCTCACACTGGGTCACTGGCGCAGCAAGGTTATGGGAGAAGATCGCACTGATCTCTTGGCTCCGTTGGGGAGCTTTTGAACATAATCGTGCGTGGTAACTATTATGATATCCACCGACTAAGGGGTTGTTGTTGTGGCTACTTTGAAGCGAGGTCAATGCATGTCAGGCGCTTGAAAAAGGTTTCGAGAAGCGGTGCATTTTTTTTTTGCTGGCGAATTTTTCGGACGCTCATATTGAGAAAATCTTACCACAAGGTAAGGACACTTGATTTGAATTGGATCTTCTATTATTAGGTTCAGTGGGCAAATAGTGAATAGTCGTTTAAACTGTGAACTACGAAGTCGGGAGTTTAAAGCAAAATGTTTTTTGAATCAATCATAATAATCTTTCTCAGAGTGGAGCAGTACATTAATGTTCCTGGATCTGAGTGATTGTACCATAGAGGTAACTCTAAGACCAGAAGGTCCCGAAGAAACAAGCTCAACTTTTTGGCTCAGCTCTGGTACTATCTTCGGTCCCAAGCTAACCGATGCACTCCTCGAAACATAGGAAAATCCACTAACCCCTCATTTTATCTGTCAAACTTTCATAGCGAATCAAAACAAACATAGTGTAGTACTGGAATTTATGCTTGAATGGGGTACGTTAATCGATTTGCTTGGGACCAATAGGCTAGTCAAGTAGCGAGCCAATTTAAAATCGTTAGTTTCGTATTGATTGTTGGTATAACCCTAACAAATCAGTAAATTTGTGAAATTATAGTAATTTTTTCTGAAATGATTGACGATGTTTTCGAATTGCTTCGGGACCTGGCTGCTAGGAGCTCAGGAATGAGGACGAAAAGTACAATGTCCATGAACCACCAGAGTTCTTGAAAATGTGTTTGTTTACATCACAAAAGTCATATTAATTTTAGGGTTGCCAAACTCATGGGATATTTACACCTTGATTTAAGCACTTCGGTACGTTCAGTACAAGATTTACACGCAATAAGCTAATATGCGATGAACAACAAGTTTGAAATGCGAAGAAAAAGAAGAAGAAAAGAACGATACTTTAGAAATGTACCTGTTATGAACTGAACCCGCTTTGTCCAGGTCAAGCGGATGTTGAAAAAGACTGGTAAGGTAATCCGGGATGCTGAAGAGATGGCCAGTTTGTTAGAACAAGCTGGCCGCTGAGGCTGACCAGTAGCCTGTGTGACAAATTATGACAGCAATTTCAAAGATTGTTTGTTTTTAAGTGCTATAAAAAGCTTGATTTTGATAACCCAACGATTTTGTTACGTCAAACCCAGGCCAATGACAGGACGTCATTTTCGTGTAGCGAACAAAATAGCAAAACACATTGGGCCAAATTCTGCTGTTGGTATAGGCCTTTCCTCGTTAAACCAATCCCGAGCAAGAGCTGTTTTCTTACTTCCCGAACTAAAGTGTGAATTCTAACTGGACCACACTTTAGTTGTGTGATTTTGGTCAGTGGGGTTTGTAGGATAAGGTTTTATCCTCAACTTCCCCAACTCACTCTTCACCCATTAGCCAACCAGTCAAAAGCTTGAAATAAGTTGAGGCTGAAGTCACTAGTTTAAACTGTTTTCCTCGACATAATGATGCGGATCATGAAATTTGAGTGCTTGCACAAGCGCTTATTTAATTCGATACTCTTCAACTCAAGTATTCAAATTAAACATTACTCAATCCACCGACGAGATGAACCAACCTGACCAGACCGTCATGTGAGAATTACAAAACAAGTTTTGTCATTATCGCGAGATGAAACTACCTGTCATGAGCTTTAATAACGTTTGTCAATGCCAAAGCAGACATTGACATTGATTATCATTCCCGTTCACGGTAGAGATGGGCAAAACGGATCACTTATGGGAACCACTCAGAACCGGTTCATTCATATAGGTGATCAGAGTCTATGTTTTTTTTCTTTATTAGTAAATGAATCTTTGAACAATCATCTTAAACTTTCGCATCTAAATTCATCTTCGCTAAGAGAAAGATCTTTAGCTGAAATGTGTTTGAAATGAATGTCCGCTAACTGAAACACATTCACAGTTAAACGACATTTATCTGTCAGAATGATGCAATTTGTCAAGATGAACCAGATTAACGCTTAATGCATATTAAATGCCTTTGAAAGCTGGTTTAACACATGAAATGCATTTCAGTTAGCGAATGCCGTTCGGTAGGTGAGAAGTCAACATTGGACAGACAGCAGGCAGGAAATCCTCAAAATTTTCTTCTATCTTCGTTGCATCTCATCAAAAGTGCCCGCATCTACCATATTTGAAATACTTTGAAACTACTGCTATCTTCTCTACAGTCACTTGGTTTCGTTAGCATCTCATAGCTGTAAAACTATTCAAACGTTCTGAACCGCTGGCAACTTCTGAATTAGACTGCCAATTAATGGGTAGGTTCAGTTTTGAATAGTGGAAACCATTCCCGAAAAAATTATCAAAAATTAAATTTACCGAATTCCCGGGAAGCTGGTTTGCTTTCGTTACTATCGTTAACATTAAATTTCTTGCAAAACAATTTGTTTTTGATTGGTCGGCGGATTTCCTGAGGCATGCTGTATTACAAAAGAATTTCAAAATGTTTAGATCCTATTTTTGTGTTCAAATTATATCATAATATGTATATACAATTCTGTACGATAATCAGAGACGTATTGAGGATTTGCTACGTCCTTGGAAAACCATGAAAATGACGCGCCTTTTCTAATTTATTAAGTCCAGCGACCAATTTCTAAACAAAGGAAGGCATTCTTCTTCTTCTTCTAATACTGATTTCATAATTGGAGTAAACCTCAGAATTCCTTTGGAATCATCAAATTTCGATACCGTTCGAATTGTTATCAGAAATCACTTGGAATTCCTGTCAGGATGGTTTTGGTGTTTTGTAAGTATTTCCTTGGAATGCTCATCAGACTCTTAGGAATATATAAGCACACGGCCGAAGAAAATAACTCAGTGATTGGGTCGAATTTGTTGGGATTTGTTTGCGCACCCCTGGCGCGCTTTGAAACATTTCAAATGTCATACAGTAAGATGTTTAACGATCGTCACTCAGAACGAACCGACCAGCCGAAGGGCTCGAGTATATGAAAATACACCAGACGATTAGTCTGTTCTGAAACCTCGAACGAGAAATATATCTTTTTCATTTATCCTCAACCGAAAACTCGCGAGTATAAAAGAATTCAACTCAAAATTGCCAAAAGATGAGATATTGAGTGAGTGAACAAAATTTTCCTCTCTTTTCGGGGAAAAACTGCTTGAAATAATCTTTTACTTCTCAAGATTTTCACTGAAGTTTTCCTTAAAACTCAGTTGGAATTATCCATGAAAATCTACCAATAACTGGGAAAGGCTCCAGCGTAGTGGTTTGCATCGATACCTCTCACACCAAAGTCACGAGTTCAAATCTCACTCCCGTACAAGTCACAAATGACCCAAGACTTTGAAAGTGACTTTGATAAAAAAAACTACTACTACCTCTACTACTAAGAAAATATATATTCTCCTAAGAATCTCATTTCCTGTTCCCTGTCAGAAATTCTTTGGAGTTCATGTCAGAATTTTGTCGAAATTACAGTCGGATTGCCCTTAGAATTTTCATTACAATTTCGATGGTAATATCCTCAGAATTTACCTTTAATTCTGAATCGAGTTCCTCTGAAATTCTCTTCTTAACAATTTCTATGGAATTCTCCTCAGAAATGCCGTGTAAATCAACTGGAATTCTCCATAGAGCTCACCTAAAGTTTTCCTCGCATACTTTTCAGAATAATCTTGATGTGCTCCATAAAATTGCCAAAGAATGCTCTCCTGAATTCCCTAGAAAGTCTCTACAGGATGCTCTTTAAATTATCCCAATTCCATCGATATTCCCGGAAAAGTTTTTTCCTGTAAGATCCTTGCTTTCGACTTATACCCAATTCGGACGGAGATTTCTCAGCTTTGCTTTGCTAAAAGCATTTCTTCTACTCTCAACTTAGCTGAAAATGAAGAAAACCTTAACAGACAGTCCAACTACCTGCATGAATTTGAATTTTGACACAACATTCTCTTGATCAAGGCAACCACTGAGTATCAAAGTCAACATCGCGAGTTTGACGAGTTTGACGTGTAAACGTTTAAATTTGAACGTTTACACGTCAAACGACACAAGCCAAACTCATAGGGTTACTAGAAGTTCAAACTAAAAATGTACCCGTTAATTTGCACGAAGTGTCATTCAGATTAACGAGGGTCCACGGTACAATGATTCAAGGTGAACTTGAATACTTGTATTCGTTTCTTCATACCGGGAGAGTGAATAAATTGTTCGAAATTGGTTCGATTTTGAGATGCGTCTCCGCATCACCCAGCGGTACCCAGGCTGCATCAGTTCAGGATTCTACTCATTTTCGCTTAGTTTTAAAATACCGTGAATAGCATTAACACTCATATTAATGCTCAGAGCATTGGTTTTATGAAGCTGCCACTAACAACAGTGGCGATCGAGATGGTTTTATGACAGGTGGGCAGGAACTCACGGTGTCCCAGTGTTGGTGAGTTCTTTGCCGTTGTTGTCACGAAAAGTTCACTATTTTGCCATACAGGATTTGGAAGGTTTTTTGCCTGTTTCATACGACCGAAAGGTGTATGCTGGTCACAAATCAAGTTGAACATTGCATTAGGTCCTAAGTAAAATTGATCGATTCTCTTCGTCGACTTTCTCTTTTGTTAATAACTTGATCTCAGAACCGTTTCTTGATGTGTTTGTCGTATTAGATGCTAGATAAAAGCTTCTTTTATCAACCTGTGTGCTGAAAAAACCTGGGAATGTCTTTACATGGCCGTGGAGATGCAAAGAGAAAGTCGACAAAGAGAATCGGTCCATTCCATTTATTACAACAAACACAATAAGAAACGCTTATGTGCTCAAGTTATTAACGAAAGAGAAAATCGACGAAGATAATCGATCAATGTAATATGATTTTTTATTGTTATTTATCCATATTCTTACGCTAGTCAACCATACACATTGAATCACCCCATCTGACATTAGACGATTGATTTAACAAAAAAAAATTACGTCTCAACCAGCTGTCGATTTCTTCTGAAACAGGGAATGTACAGGGTGATTCAGAATAACTGTCACCGATTTCACATGAAATTCTCAATGGGTAATGGGCTGTGCCAGTGGTAATGGGTAGAAGTATTTTTGTTTTAAAGTGTGTACAAATATCAGCTTGTATTGATAGTAGGATTTGAAATTTCATTTGTTTTTAATTTCCAGTAGCCATGGATGTGATAATGGAGCATGTCGTAAATCTGTATGAATTCGTGTGTTATCTTGTAGAAACTGAATTCTCTTCGAAGGAATGAAACATTTATTTTTTGTGGTTAATTTTCGTGACAAATGTGGCTGGTAATTTAAGGTAAAGGGAGAGAGATTTGATTTAAAGTATGCTAAGTTAAAGGTTATTTACAGCTATCCCCCGAAGAACGCGTTACCCACCGAGTTGCACCCACTGCTTTTTCTCGGCAGGGTTTCAACCAGTCGGTCTGATTTTTTGCATGTGAGTAGGGTTGATGGAGAACTAGTCATTCGCAGAAAATCAGAGCGTTTGGTTGAAACCCCACCGAGACAAAGCGGTGGGTGCCACTCAGTGTGTAACGCGTTCTTCGGGGGAAAGCTGTATGAAGTATATCTGGAACATACTCATATCAAAAAATCATACAAGCGTTTAAAAAAAATGACAGTTATTCCGAATCACCCTGTAAGTGTTAATTTATTTTATGATCGGCTCAAGGCGATAGATATTCACTATTTATTTTTTTAATTTCTCTTCAATTATATGGAGGCACCTTGTTTCATGATTTCTAATGAATTTCTGTTTTATTATTATTTATAGTATTCCCTTCAGCAAGTGTGCTTGGGAACGCGGAGGCAAAAGTTGTGTGGTTATCAGCTTCTTCCTGCTATAGATATTGCCGACAAAAATTGTCACGGAAATGCAATGTTTTTAAGCTTATGAAGATTTAAAGAATCGAGGAATTTTGGCAGAAACTTTCTTTCTATCTTATGTGTATGTAAGAAAGCGAATCACGCATTGTCTATTACACAAATCATCAAAATTGCCGAGAACTAAAAGTCATTTGAGGAACATTCATTTGTGACTTACATAGTTAGGTTCCAATACAAACTTAGACTTTCTTTTACCAACAAATAGATTACTTATGTACGTGAACCACGTAACTAAATGCATTGCTATAAATCTGCATTCTCTTGAAAGGTGCTACTTCAAACCACATTAAATTCTAAGTAATTTGAAATATGAAATGTTTGCATTTTTAAATCAAAGCTTCCTACATCAATGTCATAAAACCAGAAAGAGTCTAACGTCAAACCGAGGGCTTTAAGTATTAGAGCAATACTCTTTCTTCGCAAAATGTTATAGCAACTTGATTGTGGCTGATTTTAATTACACAAATGTTATCACAACTATTATTTTACAAATATGCTATTTGGGTTTCCAATTTCCAACAAAACAGCCCAGCTAACATTGTGAGTTTTATCGAGGTTTTAAAACATTATTCAAGTCTAAATTACGATCTACAAGTCCATGATAAACCCCAAATTGATACTTGGGCTTTCTGTGCAGTAGCTGGCAAATTTTCCTACAAGCACTACAGTTATATGGCAAACCGTTGAAAAACAATCGTATTCAAGATGGATCAAATAAACCATACAAGTTGGTTATTACGTTGATGATATACTAAATTAACGAGTGGCTTCCATCTGCTCGTTAATGGTCTTTGAATTTGAAAATTAAAACCAATGAAAATTTAAAGAAGCTGCCATGAGAACTTCACATAACTTCTTGACTGATGATTGACTCCTCCTCAGTCAAACGATAGGATTGTTGTGCTAACAATGATATTGATTTCCGAAACTATTTTTGTGAAAATACGATCAACACCACATAAAAGTTGGACATTTTTTCGAACCTTCAGCAGTTGAAAAAAAGTTGTTGATATTTTCTAAGCGTGAACATTAAATGGCTAAATTGTATCAAAACAGTTTAAATTACGGGAAGATGTTCGGAACCCGACATGTATTAGGTATTGATGCCATCTAGACCTTACAATGTCATCTTAATAAACTGTTAATTCTAAATGACTCAATTTGTTACGAATACACTTGTTTTTTTTTTTTTTAATTTAAATGCAGCTTTCAGACTTATCTAGCAACTTTGTGATGATGCTCAATACTTCAGTAAAACTTCTGGGTGATTGCCGATTTTTTTTTCCAGTTTGGCTTCGACTAAGTCAAATGCCCTGCATTTTACCGTTACTCCAGCCACTGTCAATATTCTAATGTCCTCAATGCACTCCTACTTCTGACCGTCGAACACTGCGAGTCCTTTTTCACTTGATCGCTCCACTGTTCACTGATCCTAGATTCCGCCCAAAATATCGCACCATCCAGAGCCATTTGCCGTTAGGACTCTGAACTATCTTCATCGTTCTAAACCATGCCAGCAACTCACCAATCGGAACATTTTGTCTAGAATTGACTGTTGTAGTACGGTTGAGTGTAGTAAATGTTGCGAAAAACTGTTGGTTCTGTTTGCAGATCAAATTAATGATGTGACCACTAAACTAAGACTGACAATCGTTCAGCAAAATTCATCGCTTTTTATACTGGTTGAAGAAAGTCACGAACTAAAACTTACTCGCCTCTTGTTGTGTGTGCGGTGGTGCCCCCCGCCCTCCCCCCTCAGCAGTTCCATTGCCCACCCCGCCGGCCCCGTTGGTAATTCAAAATCCCGGGTGCTGCTAAAACCATCATCCATGATCGTCATCATCGCGCGGCGAGGGAGCCTACAACAAAACGTTCGACGACGACGGAGAGCCTACCGAAAAATTCTCCTCTCTTTTTCCACACAGCCAGTTGTTACTGTTGCACGGAATCTGTTTTTTTTTTGTGTGTACCCAACGACGACGTCCGTACTTGACTTAAGCCCGATGCTTTATTGGCCCCTCGTGCATATACAACAAACATACCCATACCCCTACATAAGCCATTGACGAACGGAAGGCTGCCAAAAGAGCAAGATCTTGCAAAAAAAAAAATCAGCCCACCACCCCTTTGGCACCTACATATCGGCTGCTGTTGCTGCTGCACCTCGGTGTTTGTGTTCCGGACGAGCGTGCTGCGGCCTTACCAGCATCATCATCGTCATCAGCGTGCACCGCAGAGAGCGAGAGATCTTCTTCCCTCCCAACAACCCCAGAAAGATCACATACATGGGTACCACCTGAGGAGGTCTTACTAATCGCTGCTGGTAGGTAGATACCTACAGGGAGCAAAAAAAAAAGCGAAGGCAAAACAATCTCAGAGAGCGTGTTGGACTAAACCTAAACAAAGAGGTTTCAGCTAAACAATCATTCATCAACGATCGCAATACTCTGCTACGGTGGTGCTGCGGCTAGTGTTGTGGGACAGTTTGCGAACAGTCAAAGAGCAAACCGACCGCGACTGACGACGACGACGACGGAGTGACATCCCTTAAACGACGGACGTCATTGCGATCATCAGCGAAGGGTGCACAGCAAAAAAATAATTTTGATATCACATCAAAGTGGATGCACTACAATCATGTCGAAAATTTCATGTAATTTTTATGACCACATAAATAAACAAATGCAGTAAAAGCAGCGTAATGTCAGTTCATGCATTGTATTAATGATAATTTTGTCCTTTTTAGCAAGTAATATTACACCATATTTTCGACATGATTGTAGTGCATCCACTTTGACGTGATATCAAAATTATTTTTTTGCTGTGTGAAGATGAGGCTGGATAGAATTACATCCATACATATATCGAACGTAGGTACTGTTGACAGTTAGAGCTGCTGGAATGTAATAATGAGTCTGCGAAAAGGTGTTAAGTTCTGAAATTGTAGCATTTCGCTTGGGCGAAAGTGTGGAATTAATTTTTAGCGTCTCGATTGGATGAGGTGAATTGCAGTAGCTGTTGAGATGTGATTTGTAAATGGAGAAAGATGACTTAATTCCAAACTGACAGTTGAATGGAGGAACGCACGAATGAAAATGAGTATATTTTCAAGACTTTGGATACCTCATTTAAAATAGGTGTCAACGAAATAAGAGACAACGATGCTTGCTGGTGTAAGACGAAGACACTGTGGAATGCTGTGAATGCAATAAAGATCATGAAGATGAATTTCATCAATTGCGGCGAAAGTGGCTTGATTTAGTTGCGGAATCGTTTTCATCGTAGCATCGCCAATTTTGAGCTGCGCAGTTGTAATTGTTTCACACTTCGAGTCATCTGAGAAAGAGTGCAATGAAGATCTTTAATGGTTGGAGCGGCTTCAAAACATATTTATGTTGTGATACGGGATCCACCCCTTCTACCTCAAGATCTTTCGTGGGGAGTTCAAAAGTTTTTCTCTAGATGGTTTTTCCAGTTTTCAGCTGTAACGACCATCCACGGTGCCGAAAAATTACCCAAAATTAAGTTCTTTTCACTCATCTCCCATGTTCCGTCCAATAAGCTAATTTTCAGTAATATAGGGTAGAGAACTACTTCGGCCTAATCGCCCGTTTTGGGCCTATCGAGCAGAAAACTTCAAATAAATCCATTATTTCAGAGTTAACAAGTCAATTATGAATTTGGCACGATACTTTAGTTAATAAGCTACCGAACGAAGTCAATGAGAACGCGTGATATGAAGGTTTGCACGCATTATTTCCAAAAGCAAAAGAAGCGCTCCGACCGAATCAATTTATATCTTCATCCGATAGGCCGAAGTGAATTCATTTGCGTTAGGCCGAGTTTAGAATCCGTAGGCCGAGTTTGGCGTCAAGAAGCAGTGTTAGACTTTTGACAATATCTCAACGATTGGTTTCTCTTTATCAAATCTTACGGTACATACGGAAAGGTAAATACATTTGGAAGCCATCAGTAATAATAACATTCCGTTTGGTGCAAAACTACGCTAGATAAAGAAGGACTAAGTGCGGGTTGTGCTTAATAGACCGAAAATGGGGTAGTTAACCCTAGTAGTTTACATTTGACTACGGCAAAAATAATTACTTACTCTACCCAAAATTAAGTTCAATTGACTCAAATTTGAGAATATCTCATATACTCACTAGTAGGGGAAATGGATGTAATGTCGGCCTAAATCGAAGGAGACGACTCTATCTACGATGCAGGAAAAAAATATTTTTTGCTGCGCGAAGAAGATTGATGACGATTCTGAAGATTTCCTGCAAAAAGGTGATGCGCGATGCAAGTAGATGCGGGCAATGAAAGAAGGTGTTTTGAAGATTGATTCGCTAATGTGAGATTTGTTGAGCATTAAGAATTGAGATTTAGATGGGTCACCCCCCTCGGCCTAAATGGCCCTAATTTGGGCCCATACATAAATTCAGCAATTGGCTAAATTTTCAATAGCGACCAAAAACATCCATTAGTACCGTCCCAATGACGCGTTCATCTAGATAAAATTGATAAATAGAAGATTTTTAGCTATGGACCGAATCTTAGATCCATGTGCCATTTCCCCTAGCTTATTGAACGAAAGTCATGAGAAAATCGAATCTCTCGTTCCGTTTTTGACAACAACAAAAAGTGAGAGTGGGATGCAAAACTCAAAATTACTCAAAATTAAGTAAAAAGAACGTAAATTTAAGGTAATTTTTTCTCTGTGTAGATCAGCGAGGTCAAAGCCACACCGGTTAAAAAAGGGATATGGGAGAGCACACCAAGCACCATTGCATCAGCAACAAGAGAACAAAATTAGTGCGCATGGGACAAGGGGTGGTCACTCTACACACTTATTTTGCGCCAACATTTTTCTCAGAGTACCTCAAGTGTGCCACGCTGTCCTGAGAGTGCCATGTCATCGGACTGATTTTGTGTGTGTGAATAATTGTATGTTTGGCAACTTGGTATTGTAGCAATTCAAATGTTTGTTCAAACCGTACGAGCTGTCGAAGACAATGGTCACGTCAACGTCAGATCAACAGAATGGGCAGCCCATCAAGAATACTGCTGCTGCGCAGCACTCGGATCGGCCCAGTTCCGTCTCCCGTATGTCGCAGTGCGATGAAGATTTGATCCACGGAGAGTACAGCAAACATTACACGCTGGTGAGGAACATTGGGAATGCACTCATTGAACATTCTGCACCGGACATCAAAGATGAGGACGTTATCATCGATCACCATTTCCATATCAAGCTGATTGACTTCGGATCGGCGACGTTCGTACAGGAAGGGCAACTGTTTTCTACCTTCTAATGACCGAGTACTGCAGTTCGGAAGTGTTGGTAGGCAACCGCTACTCCTGCCCTGAACTGGAAATGTGGGCTCTCTGTGTTGTCACTGTACGTGTTGTTGCTCTTCGAGAACCCATTCGTTGACGTCGAGGAAATCCGTTGACAAGAATCCCAAAACTCGGATCACCATCCAGGAGCTACTGGAGGCGGAATGGATGATCAATTCGTCACAGTTCAATTTTCCCAAAATCGTCCCCAGATAACCGAACGAAATCAATCCGTAGAAGTGCTACGTATTTAGAAGCAAATATTTGCTCCAGCTGGACGGGGCAGTCCACGTCACCGCACAGATTTTCGATAAAGGATAATGTCGATGGTGAAGATGAGGATGAGCACGGCCAATGCCGAATAAATCAGTAAATTTTTTAAAAAGAAAGATTAAATACTAGGTACCCAACACAATCGTCTATTGAAGAAACGACTTGTTGGCTATTTCATTCAACTGCATGCTTAATAGTACTTGTACTATTTTTAATAATAACTTCTGTTCAGGCTTTGTTCACACAAATCTGGAGAATTTATTCAACCACAACATTGAATTACTGGTGTTGTATAAGGTATGTCGAGAAGCTTTTATTCGACTTACATGAGTTGTAACAGAGTTTATACGATAAAATTTTTGATTATTCAGCGTTTATTAGACATCACTGCTTCCTTAAAACAGTGATGCTCTGTATACGCTTGATTCTCAAGTGAAGTAACGTTTAATTAGACATAATTATACATTTATTAAACGATAATTCAACTGTGGGAAAATTAACCCAAAAAATAAGAGGGCGGGGGACAGGGAAGGGTGTGTTTCTTAAGTGTATTGTATTTCATTATTTTTGACGTGGCTCGCACCACACAGATATTAGAAAATTTATTATATACTTATACATGTCGTTGTGTTGAATTCAAACCATGTACCTTCCGATCACCAGCCGCTTGTCTTGTCATTAGAGCTATCCTAGAATTCAACATATGGGCAACTCAATAATCAATAAAAGCTTGCCTGAAAGTAAATACCTATCAGCACTCCCGATCACAACTGTAGCTCCTTCAAGGCCCTGTGGGAATGATTAATTCATTCATCGTTGTTTTAAATGAGACCAATGTTGCCGCTTCACATCTCCAAGTCGAAAGAAAAGATGCTCGGTTATATTTTAAACTAGATCAATGCATTCATTATCGTGAGTCATGTGATCGAATGATTACTATTTAAATTAATTATGTTCTACACAAATAAAAACAGGGTTGAGATTGGGATTGAACTCACGGCCTTCTAATTGGAAAGCAGAAACGATAACCACTACTCTACT